CAAAACTATTTCTTTGGATCTGGAAGAAGACTGTACAAGGGAACCCATTTAGTAGAAGTTAGGTTCAGCAACTCTATCTGAAAGAGAGGAAGATGCTACTCATCACACCGGTGATGATCTTATGGATGCAATTTTCACGTGAGTTTGAAATTTACCTGATTACTTCCAGAAAATCCAACATAATCGAAAATTATCTGCAGACAGGGAATGAACTTTCTGGTTAAGAAACAAGAATTGAGAGAGAAAGAGAGAACATGATGGTAGAGGGAGATGGGGAGGGAGACATGGAAAGAAAGAGAAAAATAGAAGCATGAGAAGGAACTTTGCAGCTCAGAGATTAGAGACCTAACCTGATTTTGTCTGATGCTTCCCATTGTCTTTCTGAACAGAGGTGAATGGACAACAGCTAATGCAAATTCCTCAGTTCCTGCATATACAGGAAGGAGAGGACTTCACCACATACTGTAATTTCTCAATGACTTTAACCGTCGTACAGTGGTACAAGCAGAGACCTGAGGGAAGTCCCGTCCTCTTGATGGTATTAGCGAAGGGTGGAGAAGTAAAGAAGCAGAAAAGACTGACAGCTCGGTTTGGGGAATCAAGAAAGGACAGCTCCCTGCACATCACAGCCGCCCAGATTGCAGATGTGGGAACCTACTTTTGTGCAGTGTGGCACGGGGATCCCCAAGCACCTGCTGCCTGTGCCCAAACCTTGCCTGGGGACTTCAGGGGGAGCTCTTCCTTCTCTCCCCTCAGAGCAGGAACCAAAGAAAGGAGAAATTGCAACATCTGCAAGGATCTAGTGCTACTCGTCCCCATGTGCAGTAGGAACGCACATAGAAATTCACTCTGGAAGACATGGAAGAGTTTTGCATTTTTACTTCATAAATCTCAACTGTTGGTTTTCTTCTACATAGATGTTTCAGAGAATTCCAATTGTCCCCAGAAGAATCTGGATTTTTGACAAATTGTGATACAAATATTCATATAAAGGGTCTGAGTGTATCTTTAATTGGTGCCAGAGGTTTTCAGGCAGTTTCTTTAAGGTTTTGGTTCAACTGCATTGTGGAAGATTTGAACATTAAGCATTTTTCATTATGTGCGCAAAATTTAAAAGAAGTTTACTACCCTCTTTCTGAAGTCACCTCTGCAGAGCTCATCTGCCTCAATGCAGAGCAATCCAATATAACATGCAAATTATGCATGAGGTAACTACCTTTTCAGAGAAATAAGTGAGCAGAGCACAAAGGTGACCCAAGAAGAGATTTAGGTATGTTCTCTTTTTTGCTCTTCCAACTGCATTGTGCTCCCCAAGCCCAGATAAAGTTGATGATACAAATTCTAGTAGCCAGTTAATTGGTCTAACCATGGGAAAGAGATGTTGAGCCATAGATTTCCAGATTCCAAAGTCTTTTCACTGACTTGACCAATTATTTTATTTCTTAGCATGTATACAGATTTCTGTCCTGAGAAAGAGAAAATAAATACAACTATATTGTAGTGGTTAAACAATAAAATAAAGGGAGCTATTTACTCCACAGCTTAATGGCCAAGTAAAGTTTTTTCACCTCTTTCAATGAAATTATTGTGATGAAAATATTATAACATAGGAATTAATTTAATATGTCAAGTCAACAAAGTCAAATACAAAACGGAACTATAAAATTTATAAAACAAAATGAAATAACATATGTATATAAAAATACAGATGGAAATACACATGTTTAGGTTAGTTTCTAAGCATAGTATATTTGGTAATTTTGTATTCATTATAAAATTTCCAAGATTATTGAAGAGTCATTCTAAAAATAGATAAATTAAAATTATATTGAAAAATTATTGTCTTCTTCCCTGTTATGGAGCTGGCC